TTTTACGATTTTATAAAATCGTTTCATCATTATTTTTTCACGATGATAAAGCAGCCACAATAAAAAAACGCTATTCTGTCTTATCAGGTAAGAGAAAGTTGAAATATTAAAGTGTTTCAAAATTTTTTAAATATTATCACGATAAATTTATTATTCTATAAATCTTCATCAGCGTAATAAATTTCTCATTTACTTGTTCTTTTTTTTTTTTTTTTTTATCGCGATAAATTCATTACTGTCAAAAAGTAACTCTCCCAGGTAAAAAATTGAGAATATTAGAATTTTACGAATATTTATTAATTTCACATTTGTTTCAAACGTTGTAAATATAAAAATTCTATTAATTTTCACCATGTCATACAGTTACTACCGTTTTTTCCCTTTTTTTTTTCTTTTCTTTTTTTTTGAAACGATAAATTCATTATTGCAAGAAAGTAACCTTCTCCTCTTTTATGGATAGATCTTCATCGCCTCGCTATATTTCACGATGATTGACGTAAACAGAAATGCAATTAACCCTCATCCGGTGATGTTGCACTTATCTACGGATACATTCGTATCGACGTTGCTATCTGATTTTTTTTCTTATGAAAGCACAATCTGTTTACCTCTTGTGCAGCAAAGAAAATTTATATTTCGTCCGGACAAATTGAAATTTATCAAATTATATTAACGATCGATGCTTTATGATTTAAGAAAGAAACTTTTATATCATCCCTTCTTTCTTTTTTCTTTTTTTTTTTTTTTTTTTTTCACGCCACGAACGATCGAACCATTTCGATTGAAATTAACTCCTTCTTTTCAGTTTCTTCAGTCAATGACTTCAGTATATTCGAATATACACGACAATCAAATGATTTTCAGGATGATCTCGAAAATCATTAAATTCAATTGCTGGGATGAGCAGCAACCCTTGTTTTCATTATTATTTTATTATTAACAGGTTCACGACGAATATCGCAGGGGGTGAGATAAATGGTCGGCGATATTTCACGTATTTTTATTTCCTTCTTTTCCTGTCCCGAATTGTTATGCGATCGGTTATCTCACCGCCGGGGTCAATTTCGCTATCTCTCAATAGGACCATTCTCCTTGCTCTACGAAAACGTTTCCCGCGCGCGGTTCCACGCAATCGGCGATATAATTTCACTACGGGGAACCGTTTCGAAAATTTCCTCCACGGAGGAATCGAAATATTCGTAACGTGTAAAATGCATAATTCGACACGAAAATGGGATATGCGAAAATTGGCGCATTCGGAACGTTAAACAAATTTTCGTCCATAATTTTCATCGCTCGACGAAATTCGATCAATTCGATTTCGAAAGAATGAGATTAAAATTTTTATTTTCACATCGAATGTAAAAAAGTTTTGAAATTATTCACGCTTCGTATCGTTCAGATATCATCTTTTTATGTAAAACCTGAATATCAGCGAAAGCCTAAAAAAAAAGAAAATATCGTTATTGAAGAATATTCCATAATGATCGATAAAAGAAAAAAAAAAATAATAATTCAGAATAACAATAAAAAACTTACTTTTGATCGGAAATTCTCATTACCATTTCTCCATTTCGTTGTAACGAAATTATTATTTAAAAAAAAAAATGCGATATCGGTTTTTTTTTCACGGTTCGATGAGCCGCATCGCAGGACGCGAATCGCTCGACGAAAAATTATTTCCAGATTTTACAGCAGGCGGGTGTTGAAATTCTATTACAATTGTAAAAGCCGTATCGTGTACGCGGTGTAAACGCGTGTTGTAAATGATAAATCAAGCTTTCACAGGGGTTGAATAAATGGCTAATTCACGTGTTTCGGGTATCAGCGCAATTCGGATCCTGTGTGCGGATGCATCTTCGGCTTTATGGAAATACTAATTTATCTTACAGCTATGCGCTCGAATTATCGGCTCTATCCATTCCCCCAAACAAATCCACGAATCACATCTCTCACGTTGAATTTGGTTTGGCCAGATGAGAATATTATGCCGGATAAAAGAAGAATTGTTGAAAATTCTTCCGTGCCTCGAATCAAGTTGAGATTTACATCCGATTCCGTGATGATTACTTTCAAGAAGTTAATTCTTAAAATTACTCAAAGAATATCTTCTCGTCAAACGAGAAAAATCTTCGATGCGATAATTGATTCAAATTTTTCCCGCCAAAACGAGAAATTAATACAACGTGCAAACTTTTTAGAGAAATTCAATCTCTCGATCGAATTGGTTAAGAATAAATGATCCATAAAAGGGAGTTTTGCGTTGGAAACTTATCTTTATACTTTCTCTCTCTCTCTCTCTCTCTCTCTCTCTCTCTCTCTCTCTCTGTCTGTCTCTCTCTCTCTGTCTCTCTCTCTGTCTCTCTCTCTGTCTCTCTCTGTCTCTCTCTCTCTGTCTCTCTCTCTCTCTCTCTGTCTCTGTCTCTGTCTCTGTCTCTCTCTGAAAAGAGAAAAACGAATTATTCTCGAATTACTTTCGATTTCGTGATACGATTTGATCCGTGAAAGTGTGTTTAGCCGATAGTAAGTAGAATCGAAAGGGAAAACGGGGTGGTCGGGGAATCGTAAAAGGAGAGTAAACGAATTCCCATGGAATTAACTAAGGGTTGAATGGGGAAGCTAAGGTAGGGTGACGGCTAATGGAAAGTACTTGTACTTAGGCATGGCGTGAGTCATCGACAACCGTCTAAAAATAGATTAAAACTACGTTCAACTTGGCTTCCCAACTTCCGGGAAACATTGTTGCCACGCAACAATTCGACTTCCACGTGTATTTTAAATGAATAAATAAATGTATCCCCTACATTGTGCAGCGTCGATTGTTTTTGGTAAGAGAAGAATGGAATGGCGAAGAACGATAAAAAAAATATTTAATCGAGGGATATTTTAGGATGAGGATAATTAATTTTGGGAATAGGATTATTTTTTGATTTGCGATCGTGATTTGTGAGGTAAATAAAGTTTTGAAAAAAATTTATCATTTTTCTTCTTCGATACGTTCGAACGAAATTCTTGGACCGAATTGATGTTTTTTGAAATTGAAAAATTTTTAGAAAAATTTATTATATTAAAGAATTGCCTAACAAGTTAAAAAATCTTTAAAAAATCAACGTATCAATCATCTCTGAACACAAAGTGTGACAAAGTCGACAATGGAAAACTTTTTATATTTCCTCCCAGTAACAGTAACATTTGCTTAAGCAGCATGAAATATTGACACGAGTGTCGTAAAGTTCCCCTATTCGGGATTAAAAACCAACAGACCCTTTCGAAACGACTCTTTCTCCTGCACAACTTGTATAGAGGCGCACTCTCTTTTTCCTCCAAAATTAATTTCAAATATGTTTGCGAATACTCGCATATCTTCCCCTCTCCAAAAAAATCCCCGTCAAAAAAATCTTCGAACACAGCTTCAGTTCCTTGAAGACACTCATATTTCTTCACATTCACTCTCTAAACTTTACGATAAACGAAAACTTAAAATTTATTTAAAAAAGAGAAAGAAAGAAAGAAAGAAAGAAAGAAAGAAAGAAAGATTATTCCCTTATTTAATTCATCGTGATTCAACGTCGCATCGAGAAAGATTCATCTCCATCGGATCGGATAGCAAATAAATGTTACGATTTATCACGCGAGAGAGGAGAGTGCCATTTACCAATGATCAGAACGAATATACTCTCTGGTCGACTCGTGCGCCGCAATAACCATTCCCATCTCATCCGAGCGAGATTTCGCGATGTTTCCACGTCATAATTCTAGGTTAGAAGGCTTACCAAACTAGGCCGAGCCGTGAAACCGGCGGAAAACTTCACTCGTCAAGCCAGAGAGAGAGAGAGAGAGAGAGAGAGAGAGAGAGAGAGTTTGTGCGCCATCACTGCCACTCTCTTTCAAACTTCTCGTCTCTGTCGTATCCTTTCCTCCACTTTCCACTTTTTTTCCACTTCTCTCTCTCTCTCTTTCGCGTCTTTTACACACACATCTCGCCCTCGGCTTGTCTTTCTTCCACTTTAACCGGCATCGATCTGTGTACTCATCATTGAGCCCCGTACCACTCTCCCGTCCACGACACTTAACGGACTACTTTCGCGATACGCGTTCTCACGAGGCTCGCCGTTTTCGAAATTTTCAATCGTCTCCATCTCCCGCCCCCCTTTTTTCTTTTCTTTTCTTTTTTTTCATTGTCAGCAATTGTACATAACGCGGATATAACTCGAAGCTCAACGGATTTGTCGTGTGAGTTCGTCCTTGGAGTTGATCCATCCTAGGAGGAGGAGGAGGAGGAAAAGAAGTGAGCTGTTGGTTTTTCGAGTCTTTCCTTTTTCTTTCTTTCTTTCTTTCTTTTTTTTTTTTTTTTTTTTNTTTTTTTTTTTTTTTTTTTTTTTGAGAAAGCTTTCGAAGTATCGATGATGGTGTCGTGAACGAAGCGTTAATTTTTTTTGGAGGGGGAGAGGGAGAGTTTGAAATAATTGTGATGGTTAATTAGTGTGTTTGGCAGGGAATTTTTGCAGGTTGGGTTAGGTTTATTGCTCGTATTGAATGTATAAGATGACACCACTTTAAGGAAGTGGTTCAGTACTTTAAAATAATGAATAAGAAGATTCGTGTAAATATATACGTGTTATTCATAGTGTTTCATTAGCAATTTGGACTTTGATATCTCATATTGTTGAATTTACATTTACATTGTGAAATTTTATGTAAGTCAAATGAATTATGAATATTTAATGTTGCATTAGATTTTTTTGGATTTACGAGAAATTTATTGTATATGAAACGATACACCAAGATTTTCAAAGTTAAATATTCGTTATAATATTCTATACGCAGTTCCAATTCTAATTTTCTATTGGAATCTTTTTTTTTTTTTTTTCGTTTTCGATTAATTGGATACTGATAGATAATAAAAATGTATGATCTAAGTAGCTCGAATTACACCCTCGTCTTCATTAAACTCGTCTCTCATCCTCTTTTTTTCCTCTCTTATATCACGATTGTTTCAGGTCACAAATACTCCGACGCCGGATTCGTCCAGTTAACAAGCACTGATTGCGCCGATTTTACGTCTAAATTAGAGTGTATTCGCCGGGTATTCGATATTCGTTGTAACATGGAACAGTTATCATGTGAACTCGAGCGTGCATTTGTGCCGTTTAACCGTGACAAATCGTTTTACGAAACAATTTATACCGATATATATATATATATATCTATATATATATATCTTTGATTTTCCTAATTAAACGAATCTCGAATTTTTGCTCGATTTTTGGAGCAAAACCCATCTCTGATCGAGATTAATCCCATCGGATCGTAAATAAGCGTCTTTTCTCGCTTGCGTGTGCGTGTGTTTGCGTGTGTGCGTGTCGAAAGGTAATAAAAAAAAAGAAAAAAAAGAAAAAAAAAAGCATTTTATACGTGTAAAACCTCTATCCGTAATACGTGAGATTTACATCCGTGAATAAAAATTGTGTACATATATATATACATATAAAATAACGCTTGTTGAGTGATGGACTGCGGATTTTTATGGAAATTTTTCATGTGTGTTGTGTTTTGTGTAAAGTGATATAATAATAAACGCGTCTTCTTATATCTTATGTTTTGTTTGGACTCTTAATTGATGCGATGTTTGTTCGAAGAAAGAAAATTGTGACAGGAATTAATCATTTATTCAACGATTAAGCGTTATACATATATATATATACAAATTTAATCGAATGAAAAAGAATGAATAGAGAGATAAAAGTGTTAAGAGTGTAAGGAAAAATTTAATAGAAATATGTGATGACAAAAAAAAAATATTTACAAACGATTTAGAGAAAAGAATTATCAAAAAAAAAAAAAAAAAAAAACTATCGTCGTCACGTATTTTATAACGAAGATTTGCGAAAAGTATATGTATATAATAAAATTATTATCTTATAAGTGTACATATTATATCCTATATAATTTTTTTAGAATATAATTGATATTTTTACATATATTAGTTGAATATACGAGCACGTTTTAGCTGCATAAAAATTCGCAGTCTATAAATACAAATAAACAATAAGTGAATAAAAGTTAAATAAATATAGGTTGAATCATGGTTACTATATACATATATATATAGTTATAGAGGAAGAAAGAAACAATTTTATCGTTTGTTCGGCGAAAAAATAAAAATAAAAATTCGAGGAAAAAAAAAGAAAAAAAGAAAAGAAAAAAAGAAAATATTGAAAGAGCTTAATAAACTCGATCAAGAGATTTCACATTTAAATTAGAATTTTAATATTGTTTTGAGAAGAGATTTCGCGAGGATTCATGGATTGTGGTAGATGAGCCCCTGCCCTTTCCGTGAATCACGTATAGGGGAGAAAAGTAAAATTTTTTACTTTTAGAATGTAAAAAAAAAAAAAAAAAGAAAAATTTGATTTTTCTCTCCTTCCCTTTTTTTTTTCTTTTTCAGCTGAAGAGGCGTAGATTTTAAAAGTTTTAGAGTTAAGACTTTGTCGAGAACTTGGCGAAGAATTGTCCTGATACAAATTGTAAAGTATATATATAATATATATATACATATATCAATAAAGATGATGATATAATTACAAATTAAATTTTGGAATTATTTAATTTCTATTCTGTTCTTTATATTTTCTAGCCTCTTTTATCCTGTGCATATATCCAGATCCTGTGATTGGGGAGGATCCTGTGTCTTGTGGAGTTGGAGATATTTAAGAATTTATCTTCAACATCTACTTTTGAGAATACGAAAATACGAAGAAAGGAGAACACGATTCAATCACAATTCAATTATCAATGGAAACGTTTAATAGAAATTTTGTTGATTTTGGACAATCTATTTTCCGGATATTTTAAAACTTGGAAATTTGGAATTTTTCCCCAAAATTTTATGGAAAGCTTTAATAGAAATATTTTATGCATAAGCTATTTCCCAGATCTTCTATACCCTTTCGCGGTAAAAATTTTTGTCGAAATTTTTATGTGGAAAGCTCAATGTAAAATTCAACAGCGCGTTTGTTCCATCAAACTAACTACAACAAAGCATCATCGATATATTGCGTACGTGTCGAAAAATAAAAAAGAAAAAAAAAAAAAAAGAAAAAGAAAAACATTCAATTTTTCGAATATTCGATTCCTTTCAACGGAATGAAATCGAGATTTTACACTTATTTATTTTTTTTTTTTCTTGTATCTTTTAATAATTTCTTAATAATTCGTTTAATTTCACAGTGGAAAAAGTCAAGTAATTTCATTTCTCAACCAAGTTAATTCACTTCACTTTCCTCTTTATTTTACAATTCAAGTGAATTTTTACCGTTGCCAATTTGACTCCAACAAAAGGTTCCCTCTTCAACAAAGGAGACGTTGTAAATTTTAAGATCTGAACGGCAAGTTTATTCGACAAAGGAGGTGGCGAAATAAAACTTGCGAAAAGGTTTATTACAGTGGCAACGATTCCAGCCAACGCAATCGACATTTAAATGACGAATGACAGTTTCCATTTCATCCAAGGTATAACACTTATTTTGCCATTCAATTTTTTCACAAGAATTTCTTTTCATATTTTTTTTTCAGGGATCATCGTTTTTTAATTTTCCGATAAAAATATTCGATGGAGAATTCTTGGAAAATTAAGTAGATCGAGTCAACGATTAACGAACTTGTATTCTTCGGGATAGAATTTCAATCTTAATCTTAGCTTTTCTCAATTTGTTAACATCCCCTTTCACTTTCTTGAAGTTTTTCTCCATGCAACCAATAATTATTCATAATAATGAAATTGATATCACAACCTTTTCATCGTAAACTTTTCTAACTTTTCATCGCATTGAAACGTGACAAACGATTCGAAAGGAAATTATGAAAGATATTTCCAAAAATACCAACATCCGTGTAACCGCGTTTCTGCAACAAAAATCCAAAAGTTTTTAAACCCCCCCCCCCCCGTATTTTCAATATCGTCCCGTTTCAACAAATTTTCCACCAACTCAAACACACCCCGTACATTTAAACGTATCACGTGAAAAACGAAATCACAAAAAACATTTTCAAACGCCTCTTTTTCCTCCCTTCCTCCCTCCCTCCCTTCCTTTCTTTTTTTTAAACAGCAAACTTCACTCCTATATTACTCCACGTTTCAATATTACCTCTCGTTCCCCCCGATGTTTCAAATTAAAAAACACGTCCTGCAAGGATTATTATGAAACACCCGATTACACATCCCCTTTTTCGCGACTCGCCAAAAAGGGAAAATTCATTTCCCTACCCGGCGAAAGTCGAATCGAATGTTCTCCCATCCGAGGGTGGGGAAGATTCATACGCATAATCCGCGTAGGTACACACGAAGGTACACCCCTTCGAAATGACAGGAGTGGAACAGGATTGGCGATGATATCCCGGGGCGATGCATCGTTACGCGAAAGTAATATCTATGATCTGAAATTGTGGGTCGACTCGACCGGGGGACTAATGATCGGGAAAGTGGAAATTTATTTGGTAAGAAAGTTTAACGTTCTGGAAGAAGAGATATCTGTTCCAGCATATTTTGGATGTTGGGAAACCGTAAGTTGAATTACCTAGCGCGGGTCGTTCCACGTCAGAATGGAAACGAAGTTTTTCTATTTTATGTCGTTTTTTAGGAATAAATAAATTCGAACGCGAGATTCTAGATTTCCAAGGATAAATCGAATTTGAAACCGATGTTTCTCGTTGCTTTTGAGATATATCCTTGTTGTTTAGGGAAGGATTCTCGTTCGAAGGCGAGGTAAAAGGCTTTATATTATTTTTTTTTTTTTTTTGAAATTGAAGAACGGAATTATATTTTGAGAAATATAAAGAAGAGAATTTTTTGAATAGCACATTCATTAAAACATTAAATAAATTTATATTTATAAAAAGATTATTTCTTTGAATTCTTATATATAAGTAAAAAAAAAATTCAAGAACAACATGTAGAAAATAATTATAATTCAATTTCAACTATTTAAGAATAAAATCATTCTTTGAAATAAATTCTTGTAATAAATATGCCAAAATTTACAATATATATATATATATATATATATATATATATATATATATGACATTTTTAATGCAAAATGTCAAACAGAACAAAAGATTATAGTAGAAAGTTACTTGATTTTTTTGAAGTCGAAATAATAGAATATGAGAGAAAGGACAGTATTAGAGTTTTCATGATATTTCGTCTTCTGTTTCTTCCACGGGGGTGGAAAGATAAATGATCTCGATAGGATCGAAAAGATCGAACATTGGCAAGGAAACTTGTATCCCACTTGAATCATGCTTGGAAAATGTTAAAGGATCTCGAGATTATGGATTCGGGTCGGAGAGATTCGATCAAGATCAATGATCGATCTTAATATCTTAGATTCAGATATTAAAGTTCAAAATAACAAGTTCGTTTTAATTTCTTCTTTCCCTATGAAAATATTATTAAAACAAACGTATAAAAGAAGGTATCAATTACGTTCTGGATGAATCGAGAAGGATAGTTCTTCGATATATTTATTCTTTTTATGTTAAACTCGCGATTATCTAACTTCAATCGAGCTAACTAACGTGTGCAAAAAAAAAAAAAAAGAAAAAAAAAAGACGTCATTAGTCGGTTAATCCTCAACCTCGCCAACATTCGCCCATTGTTCGGCACGGAAAGAAGGGATGGTTTAAAAAAAGCGGATGAGACAGCCGGGTTATTGCAATAGCTCGAATTAGCCCTTGTGCAGTCGCGACGAGAAAATATAATGTACGATTGAATATGCATCAGGGGTATGAATATTAATGGCTCGTGATAACCGAATTTCTTCGATGTAATAAACAATATAGCATTTAATATTCGTAATAAAAAAAAAAAAAAAAGAAAAATTTCTGGGGGATTATTTCGAATCGCAGCGATTGTTGGGGATGGAAGTTTAAAAAATCGTAAATTTTATTATTTGTTGGCATTTACGAGTTTTGATCGGTGATACTTGTTGGTTTGTAGAACAGACTGATAAAAAAAAATGGATGGTTATTTTATTCATAGGTTTTGGAAGAAACAGCTTGTACGAACCTTTTTTTTTCTGACGTATAATTTAAGACGTAAGTTAGTTTCTTTTTGGATTCAGGATCCAAGCAGAAATGATAGTGGAGATTTTTTTATCTAGGAAGAATAAAAAAAATATTTAAAAATTTTATTTCTCTTGGATTAATTTTAATCTTTCTTTAATCAAATATTCGTTGCACGTTATTAAACGCTGTAATTATATCGCAAAAGAATTGTATCAATGCATCAAATTGAAATTGATCTTGTGATTGGAAATGGTCAACGAAGATTATTTTTAAAATATATGTTATTTTTATTCGATTAAAAAGAAATTTTCGACGATTCATTTATTAATTAACATCGACTGTCTCGTTTTTTTTTTTAGGGGAATCGAAATGGAGAGCATCAAGTGTAATTTGTTGTGGGAATCGTGCATATTTGATTCACATTGATATTTCTGCGAACGTATCATTCTGCAAGTGTATAATAACAAATGTTATACGCGAAAAACAAATAACAATTTCCATAATAAATTTTCAAGATTTAATTGAATTCAATCATAAATTATAACAAGCGTTATCTACAAACGATTTTCCAGAATTTAATCCAATTTATACATTTAAAAATTATAATTCACAATTAAGATAAAACAGAAATTAATGGAAATATACATTATTAACATACATAACAATAAAAAAGAATAAAAAATATTTCATATACAATATCACAAAAAGTCATCACACTTTCAATGATACATGGAATTATTAATTACAATAGATAAAAATCATAATGTATAATTCGATCCAAAATTGCGATATCAAATATTTCAAAAATATCGTTACCAAAAACATTTTACCAAAATTACGAAAAATTATTATTATTATTTCGAAAGGACACAAATATAATATTCCATCGTACTAATGATACCTGATCGTAGAATCTACGTTCTAACTCGAATATGAGATCGAAGGGTATCTTTGTCGATATTCCTTATCCTTGCATGTAACTTGCATGCATTCGAAAACCACAAGTCCGAGGACAGGGACGTGGCCTCATCCATTACAAGGTTAGCCCATCGACAGGAATTTTGAAGCGTTGCGGTAAACCGGTCGTGAGTCGTCCGTCGAATCGCAGAATACTAATGAGGATCTACGATCTACCTCGATGTCTTTTTCCCCAAAGACACGACTCCACTACCTATAACAAATCGTACGAGATTTGAAATCAATCCTGCTGAGGGAGGGGGCGAAAAAAGGAGTAAGTATTTCATTCAATTATTCCATCTTACTCTTACTTCTTTTTCTTAGGAAACGATTCTTTCTTTCTCCAAGCTCACTTTTCTTTCACTTTCTTCATATCGATATTTTGAATAGCTTTTTTTTTTGCGGATAAATATTTGCCTTTGCAACTGTTTTTATTATTTATTCCTTAAAGATTTGTCGAATGTTTGAAGGTTTGAAATTTTTCTTATTTTTATTATTAATTTTTATTATTTATTCCTTAAAGATTTGTCGAATGCTTGAAGGTTTGAAATTTTTCTTTCTTCGAAAA